CGCTTTGTCTTTTTGTTTGCATCCGTACCCACTTTTTAAAAAACTTCAGCTTCCCTTTATAACTGGGGAGCTGAAGTTTCCGGGTTACTAAACAAAAACTTCAGCTCTAGAGCTGAAGTTTTTATTTTATAACTGGCAAACTTCAGCTCTAGAGCTGAAGTTTTTATTTTATAACTTGAAAATTTCGGGTTACTAAACAAAAACTTCAGCTCTAGAGCTGAAGTTTTTATTTTATAACTAGCAAACTTCAGCTCTAGAGCTGAAATTTTCGGGTTACTAAACAAAAACTTCAGCTCTAGAGCTGAAGTTTTTATTTTATAACTAGCAAACTTCAGCTCTAGAGCTGAAGTTTGTATTTTATAACTTGAAAACTTCAGCTCTAGAGCTGAAGTTTTCGGGTTACTAAACAAAAATTTCAGCTCTAAAGCTGAAGTTTTTATTTTATAACTGGCAAACTTCAGCTCTAGAGCTGAAGTTTCCCGGTTACTAAACAAAAACTTATAAAATAAAATTTCAGCTCTAGAGCTGAAGTTTTTATTTATAACTGGCAAACTTCAGCTCTAGAGCTGAAGTTCGCGAGTTAAAAAAAAAAACTTCAGCTCTAGAGCTGAACTTCAGGCCCGGCTACTAAAATGCTGAAGTTTTGTGTAATTGCCTTTGCTACTTCAGCCCCGTGTGCTGAAGTTATGTGAAAAAGCGGGTACGCTTGTAATTTTTTTTGCAAAGCGGGCACAGGTTAAAATGTGGCACAAAAAGCGAGTATAGATGCAAATGCCCCGATTTATAGCCATACAAAATATACGTGCCTCATTTTATACCACAATTTTAAAAGTTTTCTCTCTTTTCTTAAACTCGGTGGCGGATGTAGCGTAATTCCAGGGGGTTCAGATTTTGACGCAGTGTATAATTTATGTGTAAAATACCTAACAAAAGTGCCACAACGAGTGGATATGAACCCATAACTTTAAAAATATAACGAGTTGAATATTAGAAATCTTGAAGGCTAAACCCATAGAATTTAAATTTTAGATCCGTTTCTGCTTAAATTCCGTGCCCAATCAAATAAGTTCACATAAATTGATGTAGGATGAAGAGATAATACTTCCCGTGCCCATATGACATATCCTTTCGTGCGATTTTTTTTTAAAAATTAACACCACACTGAATAATACATTTAAGCTTTAAAAGAACTTTCAAGTAATTAAATTAAATTTTAGCATCTCTGAGTCTTTATTACTCTATATAAATAGGGAACAAGGAAAAAGAAAGATAAAAAGCAGAATAGGGCCAAGGAATTGGAGAGTAGGGACAGGTGGGGTTGCTTAGTAATAGTACTCTCCATCCCTAAACAGTTAATGGGGCTCCGGTGGTGGTACGGGATTTTAGAGGATAGGACATGATATGGACATGGTTATATTTTGTGTTTATTTACTATTGAGAAAATGCATAAAGACCCCATTTAAGTTGTCATGAAAAATCATTTACACACCTAAACTTTACGGGTGTCCTAACACCTCACTATTGTTAAAACAATTATATTTATTTACTCCCTCCTAAGCCTTGGTCAGCCGCGCGTCTCAGACAACGCAATTGAGCGCGTCTTTGCTCTATTTCAATCGTTAAAAACACCCAAAAAAAAAAAAATTAAATTTTTAACTTCAATATAACCCCCAACCAACACTAAATTCATTCTTCCCCAATATTTTACCAAACTCAATTGAAGAACCCTAATTTCTTCTTCATCTAAATTCTGCCGAAATTGCATCAAATTGCTCTTTGAAGTTTTGATCTTTGAAAGCAAAGGTTAATCTTTCTCCTCCAAACATAATAATGTTTCACAGATAATTCAACTTCAATGTTTGAGCTTGATTCTTCAAAGAACTTCGGCTTCGAACGGGTCTTTCTCCAATTCATCAGGAATTCTAAATGACAATGAAATTGAAGGATTTTGCAACCGGTCACTTCGATTTTGTTCGAGCAAATTGATTTTGGCGAGGCAAGAAGAATTTTCAATGGTTGGGCATTAGGGTTCTTCAATTTGGGAATTCTTACTAATGGGGTGAATAAGGCTAGTTTAGAGACTGTTATTTTTATTTACTACATTTTGAATTGAGAAACAATTAAAGTTTGACCAGAGTTACCATAAAAAAGAGCTAGTTTTTCATGAAATATTTATGAAGAGAAAAGAGACCATAGAAAGATTTTGGTTCTTTGGAAGAACAGAGGACTATATATTCCATCACGCCCATAACCAGATTTTTCCATTGAATTGAACACTGTTTTTTCTTGGTTTTTATGTAGTGCTTTTTCTAAATTTTCAGTGGCGAATGAATTGGTTTCGAATTCTTGAATTGAGGAGAAAAGATAGGAAGATGACAAGGAAATATATAATGTGCTATGAAAATTAGATAGAGGAAAGACAGCTTGTTGAGTGCCGTCCATGTTAATTACGTGGCTTACTAATAAAGCGTGTGTTTCCCACTCAAATTAATATAGCTGGGCCAGAGCTTAGGAGGGAGTAAATAAATACAATTGTTTTAACAATAGTGGGGTGTTAGGACACCCGTAAAGTTTAGGTGTGCAAATAATTTTTGAGGACAAGTTGAATGGGGTCTTTATGCATTTTCTCTTTACTATTGGAGAAGTTATGATAGGGTGAGTTAGATATTTTGGAGGCCCAATTGCTAAGGTGACTGTGCATGTAATCCCACATTCGGAATATGAGGGTGTTTGGATGGGCTTAAAAGCTGGTCAAATCAGCTTAAAAGCACTTTTGGACTTATTTGAGTGGTTGGATGAATTATAAAAGTGCTTTTAAGGCAAATACTTTTAAGTTAAAATTAAGGGTGTTAAACGGGTGGGCCGGGCCGGGTTGGGTTGGCTTTTTTGGACCCGTACGGGTTATGGTCCGGGCCGGTTACGGGTTGGGGCTTAACGGGTTTAACGGGTTCGGGTTCATCCGGGTAAAAATTGAACCGTAAGGGTTACGTGTTGAGGGGGCCGGGCCGGGCCGGATTTAGTGTATTTTTTAATTTTTTTTTTTTTGTATTTTGTATAACTATTGTAAGTTATATTAATACTTTGTATTAATATAAAGAATACAAGGAAGATGGGAAAAAATTGCACTTATAAATTGCAAGTGCTATATTTTTTTCAAAATTACAAAATTAAAGTTTGCATTTAAAAAGTAAATTAATATCTTATGTATTTTTATTGTGTACTAAAATATATTTAATGCCTATCTTATGTATTTTTACATTGTATCAAGTTGTTTATTTGATGTATATTTATGATTTGAGCATTTATACCCTAAATATATACACTATATTTTTTATAACCTAGGATCCGGTATTTTACCTTATATAATACTCCTATATGATTTAAATTATATTTCTTTCATTTTAAATACGTATAAAATATATACGTAGGGTATAATCAAGACTTATAAAATATATACTCAAAGCAATTTTCACCGTAAAATATACAAAAAAGTGACAAAAGTATTCCACTATTATTACATGTATCATACTTGCAAATTATGTGTATGATATATATGTTAAATTCCAACAATTTTAAATTATGTTAATTAGTATACAATAATTGGTATATTCATGGTATGTGTAAGATATAAAATATTTATACTAGAATATACCACTATTATGTTTTTAAAAATTAGACAGGTATGTAAAGCTCCCAAAAAAAATTAAAAATTTTTTTTTACCATTAAACCGGTCTGGACCGGTCCGGGCCGGGCCGGTTAACCGGTTTAACGGCACTGTTCATCTAACGGGTTGTACCGGTCCGGGTAACCGGTATTTAAAAAGTAAACGGAGCAACCCGCGCGGCCCCCCTAACCCAGCCCAGCCCAGCCCCCTTTAACCGGTCCGGGCCGGTTCCGGTTTTAACCGGTCTGGACCGATCCGGAACCGGGCGGACCCGGCCCGTTCAACACCTATAGTTAAAATACCCAAAACAAGCCACCCAACTTATTGCTTTTGGGCTTACAAGCTCCTTATGTTTGACCAAGTAATTTACCCTACTATCCCTTTACTTTTTCTAAACCCCAAAACTACCCTTCCACTATTAATTAAATCCGTGTGTTATCTAATCGCTGTTTTCAATCATTTTGCTTCATATTCCAAACTCTTTCAATTTCGCTGATGTCTTAAACGTAAAGGCAACACTAGCTTTATAAATAAAATGTTTGATAGATTCTAATATTTTGTAAATATTGTTTTTTTAGTTTTTTTTTCTGGTTCCATAACAATTTTAAAAATTAGCTATTGAATCCCTCCTTTTTTAATTGATGAAACTATATTCTAACTCAAAATCTTTCTATAAGTTCACATGTTACCCTAGAATTTGAAGTTACGAGCAAAAAATTATTTTTTGGTCAAATAATTAATTATTGCATGTTATTTAAATAAATAATTTATATTGTGGTAATCAGTTTAAATTAAAAGTGAACTAAATTATAAATTATTTGTATATGCATCAATTTAGAACAACATATTATAATAAAATCGTCTTCTTTATAGTGTTAACAGCTTTTAGGATATTTCAGTCATTTTAACATAATCAAGTGCTTACCAGCACTTATTTGCCAAATACTTCAACAACTTTTTTTCAGCTTCAGCACTTTTATCCAAATACGTAACTGTTTATTTATAAAACAAGCTCCAGCACTCAAAAAGTGCAAAAGTCACTTTTTTTTAAGCCAATCCAAACGGACTCTAGGTGGTGCCCCAATCTTGTTGTCCTATTACTACTTTCGTGTCCGCATTCTTTGGAGTTATCGTCTCTCTCGCTATCTTATCTTTTTTTCCTAACTTTGCCTGCATCTTTATGATTGCATAATGCGCACCCATCACCTTCTGTTCGTTGCCCACAACTACCAATCTCTTCCCCAGTTCTTACTATCGACAACAACTAAAGATAAGATTTTGATAGTGACGCATTTATCTGAAAGCAAAAGTTCATAGCATAGCTCAGCAGTTACGTAACTGTAACAAAAGACACCCATATTGCAGTACCATATGAACGGAACCTTCAAAAGCAGTGCAGCGTTACTCTAATAGTCTATACTGCACTTTAAACTTGATATAATACAGACTCGCATAAGCCAAAGCAAAACAGAAACTTATTAAAAGTCACTACTACACACTATATATAGTTATAGAGTAATTACTTATGCTTTCCAGTGAGGACAGATGCACTGGAGCTAAGTACTCGCATAAGCCAAAGCAAAACAGAAACTTATTAAAAGTCACTACTACACACTATATATAGTTATAGAGTAATTACTTATGCTTTCCAGTGAGGACAGATGCACTGGAGCTAAGTATGTAAAACTTAAGCGTGGGGTGGCTTGTCCAAGTCCTCGAGAGGGCGGAAGAAGGCCTTCTCCTCCAAGACGGATGCTGCAGCAGCAGTGGCAGGTGATGAGTGGAAACCACGTTCCCCACCAGCACTATCCGTGGCTGCAGGCCCAAACACCCCAGTTTGTGGGTGAGGACCCCAGTATTTTTCTGATTGTGGCTCTATCACTTCATCCGGCACTACCGAATCCCGCACATGATCCTCTGGGTTCTTGTCGTACACCGATGTCTGCACTCCCCTCCTGCACAATAATACAAATAACTATTTAATTAACCCACTTAATTCATTAATGAAGAGTAATCAATATATTAGGCCTAGTAATTATATCCACATATATAAACTTCTTGAGATTTATATATACGGTGATTCAGTGAGTATAGGTGCATGCAGTAACTGTTGCCACACATGCCCAACATATTTCGTGCCCAAATATCGGGATACTCACGTGATTATGACACCTTCCAAACCGACCAAACTTTAATTAAACGGCAAAGTTAACATCTAATATAGGCATCTAATAATAACTAATCCAACTTGGCTTGCAAGCATACGGAAATGAAAAAAATCATGTTTAACCTAACAAAGAAGTAAAAAACTAATGTAGACTAAGCTGCTGGCAAAAGCATTATAGTTACAAGAAGCTAAAGGATGCTCTAAAGAATTTGTACACAAATGCTGTGTCTTTTTCTTTATTTTTTATTCTCTTCCCTTTTGATCTTCCCTTTTGATCCCCCTTTAGTAGAGTTATAACTCCTCTGGTACTTGAACTCACGACCCTAAGGTTGTAGATAGTGGCGGCAAAATGAATAAAAGGAAACGGTTATCCATCTAAAATATAGATTGGATAATGAACTATTTAAAAACGGGTCAAATATGGATAAGAACCATATTATCCACTAATAGGTTTAGCTTTTACATTTGTAAAGCCTCAAATTGGGGGTTCCTCAAGTTTGGGAGACTAGGAATTCTCCCAGAAGTGATCCATTAACTCATTTTTTATCCGTATTAAATATAAGTCGAGTCGATTAATTTATCCGTTTTTGTATTACCAATTTTTGACCTGTCTTATATCCCGACCAGCCCGTTTGCCACTCCTAATTGTAGGTGAGGGTGCTGACCAACCCCTCTTGTCACAATGCTGTGTGTTGGAAGTAACCGCAACAAGAGGTATATATCATCATTAACTTTAATCAAGCATACATTTGGATTGTTGGTCCTTAAATTTTTTAAAATAGCAAACACGAAAAATGATTGAAAATTTCACTAGATTGGAGTTAAACCGTATCACTAACTCCTGTTTCTGGGCCACAGTAAAATTGTTGATAACATTTACATATAACGTGATCCAGGTCCCATTTCCTAATACCTACCAAGAACAAATAGTTTCAACCCAATAATCAGCAATATTGCTGCTTCAAAAAGGTAAAATAACTCCAGCCCCACATGTCTTGTCAAGTTCTTCTATCTCATCTTTTTATCTCCAGCCTTTATTTTGATGCGGGCCCCTATAGTTTCACCTACAGACCTACTCACCTACTCCTTTCCCTAACATTCTTCTTTTTCCTTCCAAGTTTCGGTAAGGTTCCGGTTAGACGGTTACATCTTACATCTAACTCTGCCTTTATTTGTTGTAATAAAAAATAATAATAATAATAAACAATATAGATCGTCATCTTACCGTCAAATACATTGGAAAAGTTCACTGGTTCAGAGAAATTGTTACTCGTGCATGTGTGCAAGGCTCAGGGAACAATATTTAATGTATTTTGTGCAATTGGGGATATTAGTGGGTGAGAAGTCCTTATCCGATAAGCCTTCCACTTCAGCACGCAATATTTTTAATTTTAGGATTTATTATTTGTACTATTGAACAACAAGGAAAGGAAACCGTGAGAGTCAGAAGTATCACTAAAATAGTGCTTTGCTGAAAATATCCTAATTTATGAGCCGTAATTTCGGAAATACATCAAAGAGGAAAGAAATCAGAATAGAAAATCGCAACATTAGTGAATTTCCGGAAAATTGTATCCCATGACAAATTGGACCAGAAAAATATCAGCTCGCTAGAAGACGACATAATGCCTACCAGAATTCATGGTTGCTAGATCTAACAAACAAACTAAAACTGGTAATAAACGCAAAATTCAGCTCCCACAAGTTGTAAATCTAATTGATCTGATCTCGTATTCGGTAAACCCCCAAAGAGAGAGAGAGAGAGAGAGAGAGAGAGAGAGAACGTAGCAACAATTCATCAATTACAGAACTTAGCAAAGGAATAGCTAATAGTTAGCATGATTTTGCCAGAAATTAAACATAAATTCCAAAAAGCTGCTGCATAAATATAGAACAGCAAGTTAGACTACACCAACAAAATGCTCTACAAAGCAAACACTGATCAATAGGTAAATAAGCAGCGTAAAACAGCCGTAAAAGGACAAAACAACATACAGATAGTAATTTCGAAGTAATACCTGCCAGAGAGGGAAGGTGAGTTAGCAGAAGTTCGAGCACTAGCGTAGCTGATCTGGTTCACAACTCGTTTCCCCAAGCTCACGAGTCCCCGGCTCTGCAAATTGGCGGCCATACAATACACGCTAAAGAAGAAGAAGAAGAAATGGAGTTTCGTAATCTGAATCACAAAGATAAAAGAGCAAAGCCCCTATGTTTGATGATCACACCCTTTGCCTATTTCCCCCTTTTTATAGTGGAAAAATGAGCTTAGTTTCTCTCTGTATTCTTAGTTCGCACCTACCCAGTACAACGGAGTACCACTTCCGTCAATTTTTGGACCGTCATTTAACGGTAACGATTACGTTAACAGAATATCCATTTCTTAATCCTTTTCTATTTATGTAGCCTAATGGGATTATGGATCTAAAACAGCGATTCCGGATATAATTTATTATAAATAATCAGATTTTGTTAGGGAAAATTCATTCGTGATCTAGATGTACGACAAGGACATCGTTTTCCGTTTTGACGTTATTTTATTATCTGTCACATAAAGGAGATGATATTTCGTGAAATGACCGTCTTGTCCTTGATTCCTTCCTATCTTCTTGCGCCACGTATCAATATTATCCTAATATTGTAACACACGCGTTTTTTCTGCGTGGGCAGAAGATAAAAATGTCCACAACCTTTGGTCTTCCTTCCAATTTAATTTCTTCCATATTAATTTATATGTGCTTCCTTAAACAGTCCAACCGAATTGCTGACTGGCTATGGAGTCACTCCTACTTTAAGGATAATTCACAACCTGTTATAAAACAATAAATGAAGAACGAAGAGTATTGCAGAGAAAAGTAGAAAGAGAGAATTCTTATTGATATTGGATGAATTACAATGGAATAGAACTCTCTATATATAGGGAGAGGTTGACTTAGCCACCAAGCAATGAACCCTAGAATCTCTCTAAATATAGACATTCACCATAAATACAATTCTATTTACAACACTCCTCCTTGAATGTCTATTCAACAGATAATGTACCTCGTTAAAACCTTAACTAAAATAAAACCCAGTGGAAAAAAATTTCTAGAAAAGGAAAAAGAGTACACATATCTAATAATACGCCTTTTGGTTGCCTCGTTAAAAACCTTGCAAGGAAAATCCAGTGGGACAAAACCTTGTAAGGGAAAAAGAGTGCAACGCGCATTTACTCCCCCTGGTGAGAGCATCAATTCACATCCTTGAGCCTTTGCATCCCGATCTTGTACACTAGCTTCTTGAAGGTTGACGTTGGTAGAGACTTGGTGAACAAATCAGCCATATTATCACTTGAACGAATTTGTTGCACATTAATATCACCATTCTTTTGAAGATCATGTGTGAAAAATAACTTTGGTGAAATGTGCTTTGTCCTATCTCCTTTTATGAATCCTCCCTTCAATTGAGCTATGCATGCTGCATTATCTTCATATAGAATTGTGGATAGTTTGTCACATTTCAAACCACATTTGTCTCGAATAAGGTGTATTATAGACCTCAACCACACACATTCTCGACTTGCTTCATGAATAGCAATTATCTCAGCATGATTAGATGAAGTAGCCACAATTGATTGCTTAGTCGATCGCCAAGATATGACAGTGCCTCCACAGGTAAACACATAACTTGTTTGAGATCGAGCCTTGTGTGGATCGGATAAATACCCAGCATCGGCATAACCAACAAGATCAGGACTGCAATTATTGCCATAAAATAAGCCCATATTGGTAGTCCCTTTTAGATACCGCAATATGTGTTTGATCCCATTCCAATATCTCTTTGTGGTAGCAGAGCTATATCTTTCTAAGACATTAACTGAAAAAGTTATGTCAGGCCTTGTAGTATTGGCAAGATACATTAGTGCACCAATTGCACTAAGATATGGTACTTCAGGACGAAGTAGCTCTTCATTCTCTTCTTGAGGTCAGAATGGATCCTTATTCACATCAAGTGATCGAACAACCATCGGAGTACTTAATGGATGTGCTCCATCCATGTAAAACCGTTTCAATACCTTTTCTATGTAGGCAGATTGATGAACAAAAATTCCGTTTGCCAAATGTTCAATTTGCAAACCTAGACATAATTTTGTCTTTCCGAGATCTTTCATCTCGAATTCCTTCTTTATATAATCAATTGCCTTTTGGAGTTCTATAGGAGTTCCAATAAGGTTTATGTCATCAACATATACGGCAAGTACAACAAATTCCGATGTTGTTTTCTTTATAAAAACACATGGACAAATGGCATCATTTATATAGCCTTCCTTTAATAAATACTCACTAAGACGATTATACCACATTCGTCCTGATTGCTTTAGACCATACAACGGTCTTTGCAATTTGATTGAAAATATTTTCCGGGACATTGAATTATTTGCTTTAGGCATTTTGAATCCCTCGGTAATTTTCATGTATATCTCATTATCAAGTGAGCCATAAAGGTAGGCGGTAACCACATCCATTAAATGCATGTCAAGCTTTTCATGGACAGCAAAATTAATGAGATAAGGGAAAGTTATAGCATCCCTAACGGGTGAATATGTCTCTTCATAATCGACACAAGGCCTTTGTGAAAATCCTTGTGCAACAAGGCGTGCCTTATATCTTTGTACCTCGTTTTTCTCATTTCTCTTGCATACAAAGACCCATTTATAGCCAACAGTCTTAACACCATTAGGTGTTTGGACTACGGGCCCAAAAACTTCACGTTTTGCAAGCGAATTCAACTCTGATTGGATTGCTTCTTGCCATTTTGGCCAATCAAGTCTTTGTCGACATTCTCCAACAGATTGAGGTTCAAGATCCTCACTTTTTTGCATAATGCTAGATGCAACATTATATGCAAAGACATAATCTACTATTATATCCACTCGATTCAAATTTGTCTCAATATCGATTGGATTTATTGATAGTTCCTTATTTTCTTGAGCCTCGGGCTCAGTGGATTCCTCATGAATCTCAGAATTCATTAAATCGTGGATTTCTTCATGAGATTCTTTCGTAGTGTCATTTTGATTATTTGTTTTCCTTTTTATAGGATTTCGATCTTTGGAACCTAATGGTCTGCCACGTTTTAGGCGTGCTTTTGACTCATTAGTTATGACACTAGAAGATTGTTCAATAGGGACATCAATACGGATTGGAACATTCTCTGCAGGGATAGGTGATTTTGTTATCCTTTTCAAATCCGTAAATGCGTCTGGCATTTGATTTGCTATTCTCTGCAAATGGATAATCTTTTGCACCTCTTTTTCACAAATAGAGGCACGTGGATCAAGATGAGATAATGATGGATTTTTCCACAAAATTTCCTGTTTGGTTTCACCAACTTCTCCCCCTAATTTTGGGAAAAGTGTCTCATCGAATCGACAGTCTGCAAATAGTGCAGTGAACAAATCTCCCGTTAATGTTTCGAGATAGCGAATAATGGAGGGCGATTCAAACCCAACATATATTCCTAACCTTCTTTGTGGACCCATTTTGGTGCGATATGGCGGTGCTACAGGCACATATACTGCGCATCCAAAAATTCTTAAATGGGATATATTAGGTTCATGACCCAAAACTAATTGCAACGGGGAATATTTATGATAATTTGTCAGTCTGAGACGAACTAGCATTGCTGCATGCAAAATGGCGTGACCCCAAACAGAAGTGGGCAGCCTCGTTTTCATGAGTAACGGTCTTGCTATCAATTGAAGGCGTTTAATTAAAGACTCTGCAAGGCCATTTTAAGTGTGAACATAGGCTACGTGATGTTCCACTTTTATCCCAATTGATAAGCAATAATCATTAAATGCTTGGGATGAAAACTCAGTAGCATTATCAAGTCTAATAGACTTAATTGGATTATCGGGGAATTGCACCCGTAATCGAATTATTTGTGCCATTAATTTTGCAAACGCGAAGTTGCGTGATGACAATAGGCACACATGGGACCATCTAGAAGATGCGTCTATTAAGACCATAAAATATCTAAACGACCCACTAGGTGGGTGAATAGGTCCATAAATGTCCCCTTGTATACGTTCCAAAAACGCAGGGGACTCAATTCCAACCTTTGTTGGTGATGGTCTAATAATTAACTTGCCTTGATAACAAGAAGTGCAAGAAAATTCATTATTTAAAAGAATCTTTAAATTCTTTAATGGATGCCCATTTGAGTTTTCTATAATCCGTCTCATCATAATTGATCCAGGATGTCCTAATCGATCATGCCAAAGTACAAAAGTATTGGAATCAGTAACCTTTTGGTTTACAATAGAATGTGCCTCAATTGCACTAATTCTTGTCCAATACAGGCCACAAGACAAAGATGGGAACTTCTCAATAGCCCTTTTCTGGCCAGAGACATTTTTGGTAATGATGAGATATTCAAGATTATTCTCATCTATTGTCTCAATATGATATCCATTTCGGCGAATATATTTAAAACTTAACAAGTTCCTCTTGGACTTGGAGGAGAACATTGCATTCTCTATGATAAGTATTGTTCCCTTAGGCAGAGTTATAGTAGCTCTTCCAGAGCCTTCAATTAATTTACTACTACCAGAAATTGTAGTAACATCTGCCTTACACATACTTAAATGAGAGAAATATTTCTTCTCTTTGAATATTGTATGTGTCGTACATGAATCAACTAAACAAATATTTTTACAATTGAAATTTGATTCAAGTTTGCTTTGAGAGATATCCATATTTGCTTAATCTTCTCAAAGAGCTTCTTGAGACGGTAGAGTCTCGTACTGATAACGTGTTATAAAACAATAAATGAAGAAGAAGAGTATTGCAGAGAAAAGTAGAGAGAGAGAATTCTTATTGATATTGGATGAATTACAATGGAATAGAACCCTCTATTTATAGGGAGAGGGTGACTTAGCCACCAAGCAATGAACCCTAGAATCTCTCTAAATATGGACATTCACCATAAATACAATTCTATTTATAACAAAACGATTTAAAAAATTAAAATAATATTTTAGAGATTGAAAAGGAAAATGGAAGCCCGGTGAAACTGAGGTTGAGAGAGTAGATTAGGTGGTTTCGAATTAAAATTATTTTCAAAATAAGTAACACGAGATTAGATCCGAGATATCACAATTATTCCTTTAGTGACTCGAATTCACAATCCTGAAATTGTAGGTGAAGGGTGCTAGCCGTATCTGAGCAACCCCTCTTGTCATGAACTTATCATAAATTATAACGCCTTGATTGTCAGAATTTAGGTTGAGACTCATATTTTGTTTTGTCAAAACTTGAATATATGACTAACATATATGAGGCAAACCTGAAATTTAATTTATCGGTATCAATCTTTAAAGTTTTAGTATTAAACTCATTATACTTCAGAAACATTGGACTCAAAATATAGTTTTTCTT